CCCACGTGACACCGCTGCTGCGCGAGCTGCATTGGCTGCCTGTGGCCTTCCGGGTGCGCTTCAAGGTGTTGACTATCATCTTTAAAGCGCTCCATGGCATCGGACCCGGATACCTTCGAGACCGCCTCCTGCCGCAGATTACCTCCCATCGACCTGTACGCTCCCACAGAGTGGGTCTCCTCAGGGTGCCGTCGGCCAGGCAGTGCCGGCTGGCGACCCCAAGGGGGAGGGCCTTCTCTGTGGGAGCTCCCACCCTCTGGAATGAACTGCCCCCAGAGATCAGGGTCATCCCTGATCTCCCTTCCTTCCGCCGCGCCCTTAAGACTTGGTTATTCCAGCTTGCAGGACTGGCCTAGGGCAATTTTTAGAGGGGTTTTAATTACATTTTAATTGGACAAATTTAAATATTTCTTTTAACTAATTTTAAATTTGTATTGTTATTTATGTATTTTAATCTGATTGTCAGCCGCCCTGAGTCCGCGAGGAGAAGGGCGGAATATAAATCCAAATATAAATAAATAAATAAATAAAATAAATAAATTTTGAAGAACTCAAAAGGGAAGATCATAGTATAGCTCAGTGGTGGCGAACCTATGGCACGGGTGCCAGAGGTGGCACTCAGAGCCCTTTCTGTGGGCATGCGTGCCGTCACCCCAGTCCTAGGCCTTCAGTTGGGTTTTATAAAACCTTTTCGCTTTAGGCCTCTGCGGCCGTGTACAAAAAAAAAAAAAAAGATTCAATCAGTCAATTTCAACTTCTCGTGGAAAAAAAAAGATCTTTCAAAATTGGAATTGATTGATTGAACTTTTTACTCCCACCCATTCTGCTGTTACCACCACAGCCATGCCTACCCAATGGGCCATGCCCACCCAATGGGCCACACCCACCCGGCACCCAACGATGCATAAGTGGGTTTTGGGTTGCAGTTTGGGCACTCGGTCTCTAAAAGGTTCGCCATCACTGGTATAGCTTCTTTGCATTCCCTGCAGAATACTATTACTATTACTATTACTTTATTATTACTATTACTTCACATATCTCTCCAACATATTAGAAACATAATTACACATCCCAGAGAGGAATTTATTTTTAAACAGACTTCTGTTTTGAATTAAGCCAACTGTCAAACCTCACAGAGCTGGGCAAGATCAAGGAAGCAGGAACGACACCAATTTCAGAAAAGTATCTTTAAGGCTAGTCTGACATAAACACAAAATGTTGAAAACTGGAAGACAAATTTCCCAGCCCCTTTTTAGTGAATTAATTAAGGTCTCTTTGACTAGTTTGAAATGTGAAGAACTTTCGAGAATTTTTTCTTCTTCTCATTTTCATAATATGGGAAAACCCAGAATCATCCAGTGGAGAGTTTGGGATTGATAGAAGGATGTAATTTTTATATAGGAAGTTTGTAATTATGAAAAAGGAATTGTAATTTCATGGGAACTAAAATGATCATGATCTGCTCGTGGGTTTTAAGAAAGTTTGGATTGTCATCAATTGGAAAATATCTTTAGAACATACGCACGTTCTAGCTTGCTCCAACATGCCATCTTAAGGGACAAGGTTTCACAGATAGAATCTGGTTTATTATCAAGGGCTGAGATCACCAGTCAGATGTTAAACTTAGCTGCCAATTCAGTGTTCCCGTAGATACTGTATACCCATACAACTGAGTGAATGAGCTCCATTCATTATTCTAAGGAAAGTAACAGTACTGTCCCTACAGAGTTTGTGGTTTCCTAAAACTGGAAAATCAAGCATGAGGCATCAAACTGTTCTGGATAAAGAGAGGTAACATATAACCAGTGGTGGGATTCAAATATGTGAACAACCGGTTCTCCGTGTGGATGCTGCTTCTGGAAGTTTATTCTGGGCCTGGGCAACAAAAAATTAGCTACCGGTTCTGCCGAAGTGGTGCGAACTGGCTGAATCCCATCACTGCATATAACGCATACGTAAACAGTGTAACTGAGCTACTGTGGTGACTTTCATCAACAAGAAAGACCACAGCCAGTGATTGAACATGTTATTGCTTGGAGAAAATTTCTCTTTCACTTCCTTACATTTTCATTCAGAAGGATTAAATACCAAAGGATGGAAGAGAATTTCTAACTGAGATTCTGGAAAGCTATTGCCAATGGAGGAGAAATCATGGTCTAGATCAGACATGTCAAACCCGTGACGTCACGCAACGGTTTTGCCATTGCTGGCAATGGGGACGGTTTTGCCATTACTGGCAATGGGGTGGGTGCGGCTTCTGGATGATGCGTCCGGCCCGCGGGCCAGCAGTTTGACCCCCCCTGGTCTAGATGAACAAATAATCTATTGTAGAAATAGTCTTTTTTACCCTTATCTATGTTCTTATCTACACTCAGAAATTCATAATTCTGCATCCTCAATAAACCTGTCTTCCTACTGTTATTATTTTACTGAGCTAATTAATTATTTTTCTATGTTGACCATCTCAACTCAGTGACTCTGGGTGGTGAAAATTTAAAAACAGTAGAAAAATTAATATATACAGCAGCTGCACAAATTATCATAATAATTGTTAGTACAGCCAAGAAATGGAACCTTAATTCTTGTTTTGCTGGTCACGGGGGTGGGGGGAGAGTCAGTGAGCTCCCTCACTTATAGCATTAACAAATAAAATCGCATAAGGACTTTGCTCTGAGATTTGGAAACCAGAGCACATATTTCTATAGGATATCATCCTAAGCATAGGCTAATCAACCAGAAATGACTGGTTAAGAATATCTTTTGGCAAGCATGTTTACTGCTGATTTTTAACGCAGCATGATAGATTCATTTCTTTAAAGTCTTAAATGCCTTTGGTTATGCATTCAAAGAGCAAAATAATGCAGATGTTCTTAGTAGCAACTCCGTGATAATGGAATTTCCTAAATGAATTAATTGGCAAGTTAAGCCATCTACCGTATTTCTTTCAAGGTGTCTTCTAAGAATATTTTTGGATCACTCCCCTTGAAATATTTTGAAAATGGTACTTTCTGTGCTTTCTCAGGATTCTGTTTATTGAGCCATAATCGGTTATAAGAGAGGTCTGCCATTCTTTTCATCATTTCTGTGCCATTTAAAAGCATGGATACTGAGTAAAATAATCCCCAAAGCCTAGTGCTGTGTGATTTACTGTATATGGGGACTGAGGATTCCTCCTTGCTGAATTCAACTCTCTACAGATAGTCCTCGCCTTACAACAGTTCATTTAATGACCGCTCAAAGCTACAACGGCACTGAAAAAAAGTGACTTATAACCATTTTTCACACTTATGGCCATCGCAGCATCCCCAAGGTCACATGATTTACCTTCGGATGCTTGATAAGTGGTTCATATTTAGGACGGTTGCAATGTCCCATGGCTACCCGATAACCTTTTGTGACCTTCAGATAAGCAAAGTCAATGGGGAAGTCAGATTCACTTAACAACCGTGTTACTAATTGAACAGCTGCAGTGATTCACTTAACAAACGTGGCAAAAAAAAGTCGTAAAATGGGGCAAAACTCATTTAACAAATTTCTCACTTAGCAAAACAAATTTTGGGCTCAATTGTGATCATAAGCCGAGGACTACCTGTACTTAGCCAAAATAGATAATGTTGGTAAGGAACTCTCGGTAAGTGAGATTACTGCAGGTTTATTCAGGAAGCAGTAAGGAATTCAGTGATTGGTTCACAGCACAGTCCTGCCCTCCCAATATCACCTCTTCCCTTTGGACCAGGGGTAGGCAACCTTGGCTCTTTTATGACTCGTGGACTTCAACTCCCAGAATTCTTGAGCCAGCCATGCTGGCTCAGGAATTCTGGGAGTTGAAGTCCACGAGTCATAAAAGAGCCAAGGTTGTCTACCCCTCCCTTTGGACCCACAATTTTGCCCTTATTCCTCCCCCCCCCAATCCCTGAAGGAACAACTTAAGTCACTAGTCAACCTTCAGTGCAGCCATTACTTTCTTGTGCGTAGCACTTTGTTTCATGCCCTTCTCACCTCTGTTTTGAGATCAGTCTCTCTCAAGCATTACAATAATACTTATTTTAATGCCAGGGGCTTAACTTTGCACTGGTGCTGTGTTCCACTAGAAAGTAATAGGTATTCTGAATGAAGCAACCCATGTGAAATCATGAAATATCACAGGTGCCTTCTGGGAAAAAGCAAAAGCCCTTATCTCCTCATTCTTGCTGCTCTATCTCTCAGTGCAATGCAATCCTAGCTCCTCCCCTCCATCTATGACTCTCGAGGCTTCCCAATTCTAGCCCAAAGCTGCATTGTTCCTCAGAGGAAAGGCGGTTTCCAGCCTCTTTGATCAGGTCTTCATTGTCTTTCCGGCAGGGGAGTCGGACACGCTGGTGGATGCCTCCATGAAGACAACGCCGACCTCGGCGCCAGGTCTGTCCCAGCCAGATGAGCAGGCCAGCTGGTCAGAGAGCCAGACCACAGTATTGGAAAAGGATCCAGAGTCTGGGCTCCCAGTGGGAGGACCTTATCTACACCCCAGCATTCCAAGGCAAGCACCTGCCGAGGCCCGGCACCTGGGGGTGGAGCCGCTGGTACGGGCATCACGGGCGGAGCTGATTGGTGTGGCCCCGGGGACCGAGGACAGCCTGTCTCTGGGGAGCGACCCCTACGGCAGTGCCTTCAGCCTGTACCGGGGCCGTGCCCTCTCGCTGCACGTGTAAGTAGCCACGGGGCCGTGGAGTGGGGTGCAGGGGCCATTGTGCTGGGATCATCATTTTCCCTAATCCCCAGTCATAATCCCCA